CCTGTGCTGTGGTGTATAACTTGTGTTGGTGGGCGGGGCCGCAGTCAGACCTGATGTCTGCCCCAGCCCACCGCTGGGGCCACAGTGAGACTGGTGTGTACCTTCTCTTCCCCTCTCCTAGGGGTGGGATTCACTGTGGGGTGGCGTGGCCCATCTGGGCTACTTGCACGCTGCCAGGCTTGTGGTGCTGGGAATCTGGTGTATTAGCTGGGGTGGGTAGGCAAGGTGCACGGGGGCAGGAGGGGCAGGCTTAGCTCGCTGCTCCTTAGGTGATCCACTTCAGGAGGGGCCCTGTGGCAGCGGGAGGAGTCAGACCCGCTGCCGGAGGGGTGGCTCCGCGGAAGCACAGCGTTGGGTGTTTGCTCGGAGTGAGCAAGTTCCCTGGCAGGAACTGGTTCCCTTTGGGATTTTGGCTGGGGGATGGGCGGGGGAGATGGCTCTGGCGAGCGCCTTTGTTCCCCGCCAAGCTGAGCTCTGTCGTCCAGGGTTCAGCAACTCTCCCTCCCTTTGTCCTCCAGCCTTCCCGCTTTCCAAGCAGAGCTGTTAACTTATGACCTCCCAGATGCTAAGTCCCGCTTGCTGTTGGAACACACTCCGTCTGGCCCCTCCGCTTTTGCCAGCCAGACTCCGGGGCTCTGCTTGGCCAGCAGGCTGCCCCTCCGCCCCGGCTCCCTCCCGCCGGTCCGTGGAGCGCGCACCGCCTCGCCGCCCTTCCTACCCTCTTCCGTGGGCCTCTCGTCTGCGCTTGGCTCCGGCGACTCCATTCTGCTAATCCTCTGGCGGTTTTCTGGGTTATTTAGGAAGGTGTAGGTGGAATCTAAGTGATCAGCAGGACGCGCGGTGAGCCCAGCGTCCTCCTATGCTGCCATCTTCCTCTCTCTCCTCAGCATCCAACTCTTGATTCTGGCATAGGTCGTGATCTCACAGTCGTGGGATTGAGCCTCATGTTGGGTTTGGGATTCTCATGGAGTCTACTTGGGATTCTCTCTCTCTGCCCCTCTCTGGCTCACACACTCTCTCTCTCTCTCAAAATAAATAAATATTTAGAGTGTTTTTTAAAAAATGTTTTATTTATTTTTGAGAGAGTGAATATGAGCAGGGGAGGGGCAGAGAGATAGATGGACAGAGGATCTGAAGCAGGCTCTGCTCTGACAGCATCGAAATCATGAACTGTGAGATCATGACCTCAGCTGAAGTTGAACATTCAATCCACTGAGCCACCCAGGTGGCCCAAATAAACATTTAAAAAGATAAAAAATAAGAATAAATGAAATATTAAAATCATATAATCATCTCAATAAATGTTAAGAAAGCATTTGACAAAATTCAGCCTTCATTTATGAATCAAAAAACGCAACAAAATCAGTATACTTGACCTAATAAAGACCATATATGACAAATACATAGGTAATATTACACTTAATGGTAAAAAAGTGAAAGCTTTCTCCTTTATGATGAGAAATAAAACAAGAATGCCCACTCTCCCCACTTTTTAATTAAAAAAATTTTTTTAATGTTTATTTACTTTTGAGAGAGAGAGAGACAGAACGTGAGTGGGGGAGGGGCACACAGAGAGGGAGACACAGAATCCAAAGCAGGCTCCAGGCTCTGAGCTGTCAGCACAAAGCCTGACACAGGGCTCAAACTCACAAACCATGAGATCATGACCTGAGCCAAAGTCAGAGGCTCAAACCCAGGTGCCCCTCTCCACTTTTTAATTTTTAAGTAATCTCTACACCCAATTGGAGCTCAGACTCATAATCCCAAGATCAAGAGTCACATGCTCTTCTGATAGAGCCAGTCAGGTGCCCCTCTCCCCAATCTTATTCAACACAGTATTTGCAGCCCTACCCACAGCAATTAGGCAAGAAAAGAAATAAAAGGCATACAAAAAGGAAGAAGTAAAACTGTCACTATTTGCAGATGACATAATACTATATATAGAAAACCCTAAAGACATTATCAAAAAACCGCTGGGAATAATTAATGACTTCAGTGAGGTTGCAGGATACAAAATTAATATACAAAAATCTCTTGCATTTCTATACACTAATAATGGACTATCAGAAAGAGAAATCAAGGCGTGCCTGGGCGGCTCAGTTGGTTAAGCATCTGACTTCGGCTCAGGTCATGATCTAAAGACTCAGGGGTTTGAGCCCTGCATCAGGCTGTCTGCTATCAGTGAGGAGCCTGCTTTGGATCCTCTGTCCCTCTCTCTCTGCCCCTCCTCTGCTTGTGCTCTTTTATCTCTCTCTCTCTCTCTCTCTCTCTCAAAAATAAATAAACATTTAAAAAAAGAGACAGAGGGGCGCCTGGGTGGCTCAGTTGGTTGAGCAGCCGACTTCGGCTCAGGTCACGATCTCGCGGTCCGTGAGTTCGAGCTCTGCATCAGGCTCTGTGCTGACAGCTTGGAGCCTGGAGCCTGTTTCAGATTCTGTCTCTCTCTCTCTCTGACCCTCCCCCATTCATGCTTTGTCTCTCTCTGTCTCAAAAATAAATAAATGTTAAAAAAAAAAAAATTAAAAAAAAGAGAGAGGCACCTGGGTGGCTCAGTCAGTTAAGTGACTTCGGCTCAGGTTAAGATCTCACGGTTTGTGAGTTCGAGCCCCACATTAGGCTCTTTGCTGTTGTCACAGAGCTCACTTAGATCCTCTGTCTCCCTCTTTCTCTGCCCCTCGCCTGCTTGCACTCTCTCTCAAAAATAAACATTTAAAAAAGAGAGAGAGAAATCAAGAAAACAATCCCATTTACAACTGCATCAGAAAGAATAAAATACCTAGGAATAAATTTAACCAAGGAGTAAAAGACCTTTACACTGAAAAATATGACTTAAAAGAAATTCAAGAAGTTACAAATAAATGGGAAGCTATTCCATGCACATGGATTGGAAGTATAAATATTGTTAAATGTCCATACTACCCAAAGGAATCTACAGATTCAATGCAAACCTCATCAAAATTCCAATGGCAGTTTTTAAAAAAAAAAAATTTTTTTTTTTAACGTTTATTTCTTTTTGAGACAGAGAGAGACAGAGCATGAATGGGGGAGGGTCAGAGAGAGAGAGGGAGACACAGAATCTGAAACAGGCTCCAGGCTCCGAGCTGTCAGCACAGAGCCTGACGCGGGGCTCGAACTCACGGACCGCGAGATCATGACCTGAGCCGAAGTCGGCCACTTAACCGACTGGGCCACCCAGGCGCCCCTCCAATGGCAGTTTTTACAGGACTAGAAACAAACAATCCTAAAATTTATATAGAATCACAAAAGATCCTGAATAGCCAAAATAATCTTGAGAAAGAACAAAGTCAGAGGTATCCCACTCCCTGATTTCAAATGATACTACAACACTATAGCAATCAAAATAGTATGGTATTGGCATAAAAGCAGACACATAGATCAATGCATTAGGAAAGAGAGCTCAGAAATAAACCCACACATATATGGCCAATTAATTTATGACAGAGGAGGCAAGAACATACAAAAGAGAAAGGATAGACTCTTTAATAATGTGCAGACTGGACAGCTACATGTAAAAGAATGAAACTGGACCACTATCTTGTACCGTTTATAAAAATTAACTCAATATGGATTAAAGATTTGAATGTTAAGACATGAAACCATAAAACTCCCAGAAGAAAACAGGCAGTAGGTTCCTTGACATCAGTATTAGTGATTTTTTTTTTTTTTTTTTTTTTGGAACTGGCTCCAAAAGCAAAAATAAACAAGTTGGACTACACCAAACTGAAAAGTTTCCGCATAGTGAAGGAAACCATCAGCAAAAGAAAAAGTAAACCTATCAAATGGGAGAAGATATTTTCAAATCATATACCTGATAAGTGGTTAATATCCAAAACATACTTAAAAATTCAGACAATTCATAACAAAAAAATTTTTTAATGGGCAGAAGATCTGAATACACATTTTTTTCCAAAGAAGACATATAGAAGGCCAACAGGCACATGAGAAAGGATGCTCAATATTACCAATCATCAGGTAAATAAATGAAATATCATCACACATCTGTCAGAATAGATATTATAAAAAAGACAAGAAATAAAAGGTTTAGGTGAGGATGTAGAGAAAAAGAAACTCTTGTAGACTGTTGATGGGAATGTAAATTTGTGCACCACTATGGAAAACAGTATGGAGATTCCTAAAAAAATTAAAAATAGGCCTGCCATATGATGAAGAAATTCCACGCTGGGTTTTCTGTCTGAAGAAAAAGAAAACACTAAATTGAAAAGATATATGTACCCTTATGTTTGTTGCAGCATTAATTTATAGTAACTAAGATATAGAAACAACCTAAGTGTCCATTGATGGATGAATGTATAAAGATGTGGCGTATAAACATAATGGAATACTACTCAGCTATTAAAAATAATGAAATTATGCCATTTGCAACAATATGGATGGACCTTGAGGGTACTCTGCAAAGGAAATAGGTCAGACAGAGAAAGGCAAATACTACACGATCTTACTTGTATGTGGAACCTAAAAAACAAAACAACACAAAGCCTAGACTCCTAGATATAGAAACCAGACTGGTGGGTGCCAGAGAAGAAAGAAGATTGCTGGGGGGAGATATGGGTGATAGGGATCAAGAGGTACAAACTTTCAGGACTAAAATAAAAAAGTCATGGGGATATAATGTACAGCATGGGGAATATAGTCAATAATACTGCATTAACTTTGTATGGTAATAGCTGGTAAAGAGACTTATTTTGGTGATTATTTTGCAATGTATACAAATGTTGAATTACCAAGTGATACATTTGAAGCTAACATAATGTTGTCAAATATACCACAATAAAAAAGAAAAAGAAAAAAAAAGGAAAAACAAAAAGAAAATATACCAAACACATTTTATAAATACTTTCACCAATGGTTAGTTTATAAAAACAATTTATGTTCTTCAGAAAATTAAATTAACCATTTTGATTAATGGAGCATTTAGTATATTACAAACATAGAAATATTAGGGGCAAATCAACACCTACCAAAATGTCTGGAATGATGAATGGGCAGATGTGGTTGGAGGTTTCAAGTCTTGAATTAAAAAAAAAAAAATCTTCTGAATTGGGTATACACGTGTATTACCAATCATTTCTAGAAAAGAAAAAGCCAAGAGCCAGATTTTAATAATAAGAAAACTGGAACTGGATAGAGACATTAACAAAGGGGGAAATTATTAGGAAGAAAAAAATGGTTTTAAAAAAAGTACTATAAATTTGGGGTAAAATAAAACTGAGTACAAATGGTCTATATGGTAAGGAAAGAATTCCATGGTCATCTCAGCCAGCATGGATTAGAATTAAAGTGGGTTGGAGGCCATATATTTTTTTTGCCTAAAATACTCTCAGATCATTTTCTGTAAGGTTTTCTTCCTTCGAATCTTACTCTGGGAAAAAGTGATTTGAAATGTTAGGGCATAGAAAATTCCTTATCTGTTAATTACAAATTTTATGTTTATCACATTTTATTTATATTTGTGCTATGCTAGGCATCTTTTCAAGAATTCAGAGGAAATCCTATTTTTTAGAAAATAAAACTAATCAAAGATGCAGGATAAAATCAGTAGGTATTTATGCAAAGAATTAAAAAAAAAACATAGGTTTAATATTTCAAAAATAACAAATTCATATTCACCATTTATTGATGCCCATAATGCCCTATGTACTGACATCTACATGTCAAGACTATTCTAGTGATAGTTAATAGTAATAATTTAGGCTAAATAGCTTGCAATATATAAATTTTGTAGTTTAATGAATAAGAAATTAAGTTATATTCCAGGCTCAAAAAAATTATAATAAATATTCAGTTTAAAATAAGAACCATTTTCTTATTCAGTTTAATTATTCAGTTTAATTATAATAAATATTCAGTTTAAAATAAGAATCATTTTCTTATTGGGGCGCCTGGGTGGCGCAGTCGGTTAAGCGTCCGACTTCAGCCAGGTCACGATCTCGCGGTCCGTGAGTTCGAGCCCCGCGTCAGGCTCTGGGCTGATGGCTCGGAGCCTGACGCCTGTTTCTGATTCTGTGTCTCCCTCTCTCTCTGCCCCTCGCCCGTTCATGCTCTGTCTCTCTCTGTCCCAAAAAAATAAATAAACGTTAAAAAAAAAAATTAAAATTAAAAAAAAAAAAAGAATCATTTTCTTATTAAGTAATGTAGTTTTTTCCCTCCTAGTTTCATTGTATAGTTGATGTAGAAGTCTGTATCAGTTTAAAGTGTATAACATAATGATTTATGTATATATTACAAAATGATAACCACAATTTTAGTTAACATCCATCAACTCACAGTTATAATTTTTTTTCTTATGATGAGATTTTAAGATCTATTATCTCAGTAACTTTCAAATATACAATATGGTATAACAGTTTTAAATACATATTACTTAGAAGACGTATTTCTAGGGGCGCCTGGGTGGCTCAGTCGGCTAAGCGTCCGACTTCAGCTCAGGTCACGATCTCACAGTTCGTGGGTTCGAGCCCCACGTCAGGCTCTGTGCGGACAGCTCAGAGCCTGGAGCCTGTTTCAGATTCTGTGGCTCCCTCTCTCTCTGACCCTCCCCCGTTCATGCTCTATCTCTCTCTGTCTCAAAAATAAATAAATAAACGTTAAAAAAAAATTTTAAGAAGACGTATTTCTAAAAGTAAAATTCTTTGACTTCATTGTAAAATTAGTTCAATGATTTATCAACCCAATATGACAAAATACAACTTTATTTAAATTAGTTGTGGAAGGCAAAATGACCAAGGCTAAGCCTATATATTGTGTTTCCCTACTACTTTTATGAAAGAAATGACAGCAATATTTTACCTTTGTATAGTTCATGTATCACAAAAAAGATTTCAATATTACATAAACTCAAGTACAGAGAAGGATCTAACAAAATTTAACATGTTAATTATGCAACATAAACTAAGACATTTGGCTTTGCAGGGAAGACACTGAATTACACCCAGATAATCATGTCATTACTTGGTAGCAATGTATTTCTTTTTAAAAAATGTTTATGCTTTGTTATAAAAAATGCTTGCCACAGAAAGTTTATATTTGAATCTTTTGATATGGTTCAATTTCTGTTAAGTTTCAAGATGAAAAGTATCAGAGTGAGTGTAAACAGAATCCACCAGAACTATTCTTTTCATCATGGTGCTTTGGTGCTTTTGGCCTTGTCCTTATCATTAACAGATTTACAGCACCAGCAGGACACTGTCAGCCTTTTCAAGTTTTGTCTTTTGACTTGCATTCTTTTCCTCTTCAGTGCAGTCAGAGGCCAAATTCCCACCTCCCCATCATCTTTGTCTCTGTATTGTCTTAAAAAAATTTTTTTTTAATGTTTATTTTTAGAGAGAGAAAGACACACACACACAGAATGCAAGCAGGGCAGGGAGGGGGGGTGAGGCAGAGAGAGAGGCAGACACAGAACCCAAGGCAGGCTCCAGGCTCTGAGCTGTCAGCACAGAGTCCAATGCCGACTCGAACTCATGAGCCGTGAGATCATGACCTGAGCTGAAGTCGGACGCTTAGCCAACTGAGCCACCCAGGTGCCCCTCTTTATTCTCTTTTAAAGAGGATATTACATTCTGACAAAATATGCCAGTGATCAAGTCATATTTTAGCCATAGGATATAAATATCACCTCCTACTTTGTTTTATATGTTTTCCTCTTTCTCTGCTCTCTTTAGACTAATTAGTCCCCAGAATTGGAAATTCCTTGAATGAATCCGAATAATTCTTTATCTGAACAAGGGGCACGTGAGTGGCTCAGTCAGTTGAGCGTCTCTTGATTTTGGCTCACTCAGGTTGTGATCCCAGGGTTGTGGGATCCACACTGAGCTTGGAGCGTGCTTGAGATTCTCTCCTTCTGTCCTTCTCCCCTGCTCGTACCTGCTCTCACTCTCTCTCTCTCTCTCTCTCTCTCTCTCACTCTCTCAAAAAAAAATTCAGCCTTTATAAACAAATGATTTTGACAGAAACCAGGCTCCTCCCACCTTTGTACAAGTTGCTCCTTGTTTTCAAATGCCAGCTAATCATCCATTTCACAGGACCATTCATAGATAACCTAATGCCACCTCTCTGCTTACTCCATGAAGTGATTGCTTGTGTCTGATTTCTTTGATCCGTTTGGTATGTCTGGCTTTATGTCTTTGAATATACTCGCATGTTTTGTCTCCCTCAGTAGATTATAAATGCCTCAATATTAGACACAATGAGTTCTAATCAAGGACAATTATCTGCCTGCAGACCTATGAATTCAAATGAAATGCTTTAACTTTTTCCTAGTTCCAAAATCCCTTCCAAATCTCTTCCTTCTGATTCCCAGAACCACAGTCCAAGTTCCTGCCCCCATTCCCTCTCACCTGACTACTGCAATCATCTTCTAATTATTTACCTAGCCTTTGCTCTCTGACCTCTGGCAATTTACCTTCGATTTCCTTCTCAGTTATCTTTCTAAAGCAGTTCTGATGGTGTCACTCCCTAGGTTAAAGCCCTCCATGGCTCTCCACTGCCTACAAATAAAATCTCCAGCTTGGCATTCAAGGGCTTTACAATCTGGTCCCATCCCCTCTTTCTAACCCAATTCCAACCACTTACTCCTCCTACTGTGTATTCTATGAGCTACTGTTTATCAAATACATCTTTGCACATTCCTTTCCCATCTTTCTTCATTTTCTGTCTTTCCTAAGATGAGTTTCTCCACCTACTCTCATCATGCTCTTTAATAAAGGATCCCAGCTCAAGAGGATCACTTCTTCCCTGGCTTGTTGTCCCTAGTCAACTTGTTTCTTCTCCGTTCCAGAGCATGTTGTTTATCTCCATTTTAGCATTTTCCATTTATACTGTGAGCAACTTTAAGACAGAGATGATGATTTATTTATCTTCCTATGGCTATAGCGTAGCAAGTGAAGTGGGAGGAAGAGAATCATTTCCCTAGGAAATGAAGGAAATACTGCTAAAGACACAGGTAGGGGAAATTTCCCAATTTTCTTGGAAGAGGTTCAAATTCTTTAATTATTGACATCCACCTTACTTGTAGTAGCTTCTTGGAATTAAGAGTTCAGAGAATCTCTGGGGCACCTGGGTGGCTAGTCCAACTTTGGCTCAGGTCATGATCTCATTGGTGGTGGGTTGGAGCCCCACCTGGGGCTCTGCTGACAGCTCAGAGCCAGGAGCCTGCTTCAAATTCTGTTATCTCCCTCTCTCTGCCCCTCCCCCATTTGTGTTCTTTCTCTCTCAAAAATAAATATTAAAAAAAAAGTTCAGAGACTTTCTAATAAAAACTGTATTTTCTAGAAGTCAAGTTTGTAACTTTCCTGACATGGAAGTTAAGCCTCTAAATCAGCCTCATCAAGCTCAAAAAATCTGCAGCCTGCATCCAGGAACCAATTAATTTCCTCTGTGCAACCCCACCTAGCTATTAGAATTTATTAAAATACTACATTGAAGTCAAGATAACTGTGATCTCTTAACTTATTTGATCAATGGCGCAGTATTGTCCTGGGATCCACATCTAATCTTGCCACCACTGGTCAATTGGCACGTGGCTTTCAGGACCTGAGCCGTCAGAAACAGCTCTGTAATTACTTGTGATTACTTGAGTCGAACGATTCCGGGCCTATGGTGGTTATTTCGCCTTCACTCACCATTAAACACTTGGTTCTGTGCCAGCAGGATGTCCGGGTGCTTGGCCACTCGCACCTCGGACGCCGGCCCCCAGGGTCGTGGCCTCTCCGAACCAACGGTGGTCAGAGGCAAGCCGGCAGCATCAGCCGGAGGGAAACGAGGGCTGAAGTTGGAGAAGGGGGCGGACAAGGTCCGCCCGCCCAGCGCCGCGACGCCTGGCGGGTGTCAAGGCGAACCTCAACGCAGCCACCCCGCTGAGCCTCAGCACCCCCACGCCGCCGGATGCGCTCGAGGCGGCCGCGCGCGGCCAGGCGCCCTCCCGGCGCGGCAGTGGGGGG